GGAATAACACAAGATTCACAGTGGTGCTTGCTGAAGTCGATGATTAAAAACAGTGAAGGCAGTATATTCTGACCAAGCATTTGTGGCAGCTGAGTCACAGGAAGCTTGGTTACTTCTTCAGCACCTGAGTATCTTTGGCAAAGTCACATCACCTCTGTGTCTCAGGATTCTCAGGTATAAGTGAAAGAGCTGGATAGATGGTCTCCCTGTCATCTGCCCAGACAGATGTTTTCTAACACTGAACACAAAAGTTGTATACACCAGTCAGGCAATAGCAGAACTTGTGTGGAAGAGCCACCTTCATTGATTCAAAAGTGACTAGCCTGCCTCTAGTCTTGGTTGACTTAACCATTGGGTAGGCATTGTGTGAGCCCATAGCTCATTACCACACTCTGACGAGCTGGCATGCCTTCTTTGTGGAAAGATTTCCTTTGGTATATCTCCAGACCCTACTGGGGCTCCTGAGTCAGTGTCTGTAAGCAGATACTGTTCATTCATTTCCTGGCTGCCCAGATCCGAATAAACACAGAGAAACTATATTATATTAATTATAACACTTTTTGTCCAATGGCTCAAGCTTATTACTAACTAGCTCCTATCTCTTAAATTAACCCATTTCTATTCATCTGTGTATTACCACAAGGCTGTGACTTACCAGTAAGCTTCTAGCATCATTCTCCTTTGGCAGCTACATGGTGTCTCCCTGACTCCATCCACTCTCTCTATATCTCTGTTTGGATTTCTTGCCTAGCTTTATTCTGCCCTGTCATAGGCCGAAGGAGCTTCTTTATTGACCAATGGTAATAAAAACATACTCACAACATACAGAGGGGAATTCCACATCAAGTGTCAATGCTCAGTGACTGTGGGAACATGGGCTGAAAGAGAGAACAAGAGAATGGGAGCAGCTAAACACCAGCAGATAAAAGCCTGGTGAGCACAACAGAGTTGGCGAAGCAGTTACACATTAGCGAAAGGACTATTCACAAACACTCTATAGCCGCTTTACAAGTCGAACCTGATGTTCAAGGTCGGAGGGGCATACACTGGTATGTTTAATGATGGAAACCGACAGCCTCTATGTCTGAATCTGAGATTTTGTGCAATAGAGCTGCAGTCTCATTACTTTATCAAAAACAAAGTCAAATTAAAATTAAACTCACTTTTATCCTTTATATGCAAGAAAAATGTACCACCTCCAAATCTGAGCTTTCCCTGCTGACATAGAAGATTAAAAAGGGGGTCGAGAGCTTTCATAAACATGATCTGTATACACTATCAGAGGCAGAAATACTTGCACAATTCTCCTGCCTGTAATGTGATTCCCTACTTGTAGCAAATACAGGAAGAGACATAATCTCTGTGATAAAAGTACTCTTTTTGTTATGGAAACTAGTGGAAGCAGAAGGAGAAAATCGTAGGCTTTGAGAATGCTCTATTCCAAGGTGTCAGGGTGCAGCACGGTCAGTGTCCACCCTCATTAGGCCTTATCTTCACACAGCCTACTTCCCTGCAGTAGACATAATCTAATTTTCTCAGCTGCTCATTAGCTTTTGGAAAGGCAGAGCAGATTTTGAGCAAGGCTCTTGGTCCTCTCCTCTGGGTATATATTATCTGTTCGTCTTGCAAAGCTGCCCAGTGTCGCGCAACTCCCACTCTGTTATCTTTTGTGCAATTTATTATGTCAGTATCTCTAAGTTTGTTTTTATCACGGCTGGTAAGGCCATTATTAAATAATGAGAAAAAAGTAAGTGGATTACGAAAGCTAGACCAGGAAGATCAAGACTTGGAGATGGTTGAGCCCTGGAGGGGTATAATACGGCCATGATGCCTCTGTTGTGCTGGCCCACTGCAGTCCCAACAACAAAAGCTTCCAGGTTGCTGTAGCGATGCTGAGCTCATGGCGGGGCACCTCACCGTGACACGTAGGCTCATGCAGTAGATCAGTAGATGGCCTTGGACTAGCGCCTCCTAAGGGTAGGCCCCAAGCCACATACTGCAGCTGCCCACCAGTATTTGCTAGAAACATATAGTATAAGGCTTGTTCTTCATCAGCTGAATCAGAAACCTCCCTCAGCTGAGAGGAGGTTAGAATTGCTGCCTTACAATGAAGCGTGAAAAATCAATTTCTGAAACAATTGAAAAGCTACAAACACCACATAAATATCAGATAAATTAAACGAATTAAAATGGTAGTTAGTGAGGTCATACTGCTTACATTTTTTAAAGATTTATAAATTTTTAATTGTGTATATATGTTTCTCTACGTGTATGTGTATCATGTGCATGCCTGGTACCCTTGGAGGCCAGAAGAGGGCATGGGATATGAAGTTACAGATAGTTGTGAGCTACCATGTGGGTGCTGGGAACCAAACCTGGGTCCTCTACAAGAGCATCAAGTTCTCTTAACTGCTGAGCATCTCTCTAGCCCTGTTTATGGATTCTGTTAAGGAGGCTCTAATCTGTTAGTGATATTCCTTAAGCTATTTGATGATTAAGTAATGTGTGTGTGTGTGTGTGTGTGTGTGTGTGTGTGTGTATGTGTGTGTGTTTCAGAATACAGTGAAGGAATGTGTGGAAATAGAAAGCATGAATAAAATAAAATACATTTGTCAGTAGTTATCAAAGCTGAATGTTTCATAACTATTTATTATAGTTTTCCTGTTATATTAGAAGGAGGGACTGCTTGTTCGTCCTGGCCACCCAGGTAACTTAGCCCCGAAATAACCACACAGAAATTGTATTCATTAAAACACAGCTTGGCCCATTAGCTCTAGTTTTTTATTGGCTAATTCTTACATCTTAATTTAACCCATTTCTATTAATCTGTATATCACCACGTGGCAGTGGCTTCCTGGGAAAGATTCAGCATGTCTGACTCTGGCAGTTCTATGGCAGCTCTCTCTCTCTCTGCCCTTCTTTCTCCCAGCATTCAGTTCTGTCTTCCCTGCCTACCTAAGTTCTGCCCTATCAAAAGGCCCAAAGCAGTTTTTTTTTAATTCCAATGAAAGCGACACAAAGACAGAAGGACCTCCTACACCATTGTTACTTTGGCATAAGACTGAAAAATTTTCAGAGCTGTCTTTGACATGGACAATGACAGATGACACTGACGTCATAAGGGATGCAGCACTGAACGGCTCAAATCAGTAGAGAAAGGAGGCTGTCAAGAGGGCCGTGAGGGCTGAGCTTAGCATCAGCAGGGAGGGAGGCCTGGATAAGAACAGTATGGAGTTAGAAGTGGCAGAAGTAGGGACCAAGCAGGACCCTCAGGTTTCAAGCTTAGATAAATAGCTGCGTGATGGAGCCATTTATTAAAATAAGTAAAGAAAATAAAGTTAGGAGTGAAGGGAGTGGGAGATTCCATGCAGCCATGTGGTGTTTAAGAGGCCTGTGGGAGTCCCAGAGTTTAGCAAATAGGAGGGCTGCCCTAGAAGTACAGCATCAGCTGCAACACAATTTCCATGGAAACAGTGTAGGCACAGGAAATGCTCCCTCAGGAAAAGCACTTCTTACCAAATTAATAAATTACTCTTCCCCTGTGCTAACATTAAAAATGTGAAAGCAGTGGCTTGATTGGGAAGAACCCAGAGAACTAAGCACTGAATGCAATGCCCAGGCTAGCCCATTTCCTCAATGTGTGACAAGTCGGCCAGATTCAACTCAGGACTTGCTTTTTTATTTTTCCAGTCTCTGTCTCTTTGTCTCTCTCTCTCCCTCTCTTTCTATCTGTCTGTGTGTGTGTGTGTGTTTCTGTCTCTCTGTGTGTCTCTGTCTCTCTTTATGTCTCTCTCTGTGTCTCTGTCTCTCTGTCTCTTTTTCTGTGCCTCTGTCTCTGTCTGTCTGTCTCTCTCTTCCTCTGTGTGTGTGTGTGTGTGTGTGTGTGTGTGTGTGTGTGTGTGCACATGTTTGTATCTGGAGGCCTGGAGGTTGTAAGGTTGTAGATGAGAGACAGCCTCCATACCTCATCCAGTTTATTCACTGAGGCAGTGTCAAATGGAAAACAGATTTAGCTAGTCTCTCTAGCCAGCCTGCCCCAGAGGTCTCCTGTCTCCATCTCCTGAAGGAGACTTGGTTCACCCAGAATTTTACTTGGGTTCTGGGGTTGCTTAGCCACTTAACGACCTGATGAGCCATTTGACTGGCCCCCAATAAAGAAACTTTCAAGAGGACATAAAGGCAATACATCCATACATAAAAATGTCATGTAGACGGTCAGGTTTTATTTATTTTTTTACTCTTCTGTATTTTCCTTTATCATCTTCTGTATTTTATATGGTACTGTAAGAGTTTTAAGGAAAACACCAAAACCTCAGAAGCAGACTTAGCTTCCCACCCACATACAGGATGGAGACTGTGTGCTCTCAGGCAGAGCGGCCAGCTGCTGGTGTAGAAGGGCTTGTTAGAGACTTACCCTGGAGCAGGCAGGACTCAGCCCTACAGGATTTGCTGCAGTTGGATGGGAAGCAGCAGCCCATCTCCTAGGCTATTTAAAAAAAAAAGAAAGAAAGAAAGAAAAAGGAAACAGAATGATTTACCATACCCAGTTTGCCATCAGCTGGGGGTTTTGTAGACTGTGAGGCAGTTTGGGAAATGTTTGTGATTTTGATAGCATTTGCTTTTATAGTTTCTTATTTATAAATTTCTTATAAATTTATAAATTTCTTATTTATAAAGAAGAAAAGAGTCCCTTGAGATGTTTTTATTCCCTCCTGGAGCTATTCTTGAAGCCTTATGCTGACTGCTCAGCCCCTGCTCCTCAGCTTACTATTTGAAGGCTCCATACCTGGTCTCATCCAAGCATAATCAAATCAGAGTTTTATGCAAACTGTGTCCCGGCGTCAATTATTAGAAATTTCCAAGGGCAACTTCAGTTGTGGTCAGGGTTGAGGCCCTCTCTGGATAGCACATGAAGAGTCGAGGAGAACTGGGGCATTTGGGTCGCTTGTCATGAGCAGAAACGTCGGGAATCAGCGAGCTTGCGTTCGCCTGCCTCACAGGTGACAGCAGTGCGGGTGCACGTGAACAGCTCCTCCGAGAACCTGGACTACCCAGTCCTCGTCGTGGTCCGCCAGCAGAAAGCGGTGCTGTCCTGGCAGGTTCCTCTGCTCTTCCAAGGACTGTAAGTATTCTCTGCTCCAGCGGCGCCACTATAGTTGGCATTCTTCAATGTCCTCAGACTTAGATGAGTTGATGTTAACTATTATTATGATTACTTTGTTTGTTTGTTGTCTTAGCTGGAAGGGAACTCAGACATGGAAACGTCAGATTAACGCACCCCAAATGCAAGCAATGAATGCCTGCACCAGGCTGCTCGGTGCTAAGCATGTCCATTCTCTCTGGATTTCAGATCAAGCATTCCGTCTAGATTTTTAGCACCTGGGAGAACTTATGCTACTTAAAATATATCATGATGTTCTACTCCCACCCTCCTTTTGAAAAACGGATCCTTCCATATCCATAGTGGGCTAGGTCCAGCAGTCCATATATGAGCAGCACCAAACCCACTCTTCAGAAGGCCTCTCTTCCATGCGTCCTTCACTCAGCAGTGCCCACAGGGCAGAGCTAAGTTTGGGAAGACACCATGAAAAATACCAGGAGTCCCTGTCCTCATAGAGGAGACAATTTTGTCCCTGTTTTGCCAAGGAGAGTTCATTGAAGCATTGTGGCCTCAATACAGAGTCCAGAAAGCAGAGAGAAATGAGCACCTACTGAGGTGTTATTATGTGGTTTTTTTTTTAAAGGTTCAAAAATTTGAGGGTTAAATACTAATTCTGATAGTTTTAACTTGAAATAGGTGAAACTGGAGAGAAAGAGAGAGAGAGAGAGAGAGAGAGAGAGAGAGAGAGAGAGAGAAGACTTTATTGGTTGTTTAACAAGGAGAGTTCATCCCATGAATTTTGGTGTTTTTCCTTGAATAACTTGGGAGTCTGGCTGAATGTGATGTAAAACTGTTAAGTAAACTGGTCAGGACACAGCAGTCCCTATGTCCCTGTCAGATATCAGATGCCAACTATAGGTGCCCTGGGTTTGCCTTCTATAGATTTAGCCTGAAATTGGACTTCAAGACAGGTTAGAGAGGAGTGGAGCAAGGTATCATTCTCCTTGGCCCTGTTCACTGCATCTCCTTGCTGATGCTGTCCACACCACCTCTGCAGATACCAGCGGAGCTACAACTACCAGGAAGTCAGCCGCACTCTTTGTCCATCGAAAGCAACCAATGAGACGGGCCCTCTGCAGCAACTGATCTTCGTAGACGTAGCATCCATGGCTCCCCACGGTGCCCACTACCAGCTGCTGGTCACCAAAATCAAACACTTCCAGCTCCGGTAAGCAAGTGCGCATTGCTCTTTGCTTTCTGCTGTTTTGCCTGGGGATAGTCAGCTCAGCAGCCATCTTTAAATATGAGTTGGGCGTGGCTTCAACAGAAAGCTCGACCGGAACCTTCAGGGAAGCCTTGCCTTTGCCAGCGGTACCTTTGGTCTGTTGCTGTCAGCTGGCTTTGACCTCTGTGAATTACAGTGCTGATATTGAGTGAGGTAATTTGGTCCCCAGGGAAAGAACACTGTGAAACTGAAGTCCTTGGGTCACAGCTCCGTGAAAGTGTTAACGAATGACTTGCAAATCTGTTCTGCCGCGTTTGTTTTCTGTTTTCACTTTGGGTGATATGACAGTGGGTCATCAAACAGACCTTGCTAACAGTAGGAAACACAGAGTTAGGAGAGCTTGGATGTGATGAAGATCAGCCCGGAAAAGAGATGGTGGCTGAGCTATGCGTGTTTTCTTCCTTTCTCAATTCACTAACTTGGCCGGTGACCTAGAAACCCAGAGGCTGGTGGTCATGGAGTCCAGATGAGGGCTGTGGTAAGAACCAGGCTCCAGCTATGGAGAATTAACTCTGACACAGCAGTTTCTGCCACACAATGGCAGCCACGGAATGGCAGCCTAGAATCATACAGAACACATTTTGCTGATGTCCAGAGGCTTCTGTTGTTCTTAGCTGAGACCAGGGTCTGCCTATGCTGCCAGGCTGGCCTTGGAGTTTTAGGCTCAAGCCGTCCTCATATCTCTGCCTTCTAGGAAGCTGTGGCTAGGGGTATGTATCACCGCACCCAACTCTGAGGTCCAGAGATGCTGTCCATGTCCAAATTCACAAGGACAGAAAAAGGCAAAATCAAGCCTGGATTCTGCTCCTGGCTTCCTCTTCTAACTTCTCCTCATAACATATTCGTTCTTCTTTCTGCTTAAATCCATCCTCCATAAATATGCTTCTCAATTGCACAAGGCACTTATCTATTCACATTCAGATTTTAAAATAAGACGCTTCTGCCTCTAAACATTCCTCCCGCTCCTTTCACACACAGGAACACCATCTTCCCAGCAGCTCCCAACAGCGATGGGCCACTCTGTCACTAGAGATCACAGTTGTAGGCAGGGAGCAGTGGGAGGGGGACTCTGTAGGAACAGGCGGCCACTGGATTGTGGGGTAGGAGGGACATGGTAGGACATTGAGAACTCAGCTGTCCATGTTGCGCTCTTCATTGTGTGAGGAACAGACTGCCAGAGGCAATGTTGGCTGCAGAGACGTTAGGAGGCTGCCGTGATGGCCAAGGTGAAAGTGAGAAGGGGTCTTGTGTAAGAGTTGAAGTGCACAAAACTTGAATGAATCTGAAGACGGGGGCGGCGGGGGGGCAAGGGGCGGGTCAAGAAAGGCATCACATTTTGTTCGAGGGAATGAAGATTGAATGTTTGTGACTGTGTGGCCAGTCTCAAGAAGGAGTTACTTCACACAGAACCCTGGTCCCAGTTAGTCACCTCCCCTCTCTCCTTGAGTTAGAAAGCACTTGAAGGGTATAAGTTACTGGAGCTTTGCTAGAATCAGATACTTTCTGATCTTCAGCTTCGTATTTTTGCTTTATGGGGACTGTCAGATGTCATGGCTTATAATAGTCCCAACAAAGTGTATCCTCACCATGAACTCCCATGAATTCATTGGACTCTCAACACTGTGATCCAACAGTCCAGTGTGGAGGTGGTTCCCTTGAAGTATGGCAAAGCTGTGGGCCAATCTGTTCCTAAGGGCTTTGACTGTGTTTGGTATATTAAGATGAAAGACTCAGCAGCAACAACAAAACTATCCAAAAGTAAACAAGTAGTATAGATCACAAATATGCGGTCAAAGGACGAAGACCATGTGAGAGAGTACTCAAAGACCCCAATTATTATTTGGAGCTTGCTCGAATGGGGGTCAAGAGAAGGAGGAATTTGGTTAATAAGGGCATATCACAGGTTGTTCTATATTTATTGACAGGCCTAGACTATGTAAGCCTCTGGTCACCGTGCATGTCCTTTCTCATGATGCATCAGATCTCAATCATACCATGTACAACTATGCAAAGACCCAAGTTGATAGACAGGGGATTTGGCCCAAATCTTTACTCAGAAGACACAGTTTGCCTTATTGTGCATGCACCCAAAAGTAATTCAGGCCTGATTGGACACCCCATGTTCATACTCACAGATATCTAAAGAAAAATTAAATAGAAACTAATATTCCTTAAAAAATATGCTGCCTGCGTGACCCCGGCAGGCTCGCAGAGCAACCGCGAGCCAGGCAGAGGCTGCCAGAGCAGTGCAGATTCCCCGTAGTGAGCGGCAGAGCTAGCTGTGGGCAGGCAGGCAGGAGACAGAGACATGGACATGTAAAATGAGATTAAAATATTTATTCGGGGTTATGGAGGAAAAGGGGAGGGGGCAGAGAAAGAAAGGGAGAGGGGGAAGGAGAGGGAGAGAAAGAAAGACAGAAACAGAGAAAAGGAGAGAGAGAAAAGACAGAAAACACATGTGTACACGCCAAGAGAGGGAACAGAAAGAAAGAAAGAAAGATGGCTATGAGAGGCCAGAAGTCGCTGGGAGTGGGCGTGGCTTGCCCCTTAAAGGGACCAGAGATCAAAAGGAATAACAGAAACTGTCCATTCTGGATGATCATTAAGGGGAGGAGGAACGTACTCTTGTGTTTGGAAGAGAGTGTGCACCCAACTCAATGCAGAAACAGGGTCTTAAACTAAAAAGCTACCGGGTGCATTATTAGGAGAGGGTGACATAGCCCAGACCAAGCGGGGTCCCAGGCTGCTAATCTAGTCCCTACTGCAATAGAGCCTCAAGATAAGCAAGGAAAAACAGATGGGAAGCATTCTTCAGCAGAGATGTGTGGTTTGGTACCAGAGTGCATTTCTCCACCTCTCCCCATTACAGCGACAGGAGGTACAGTTACCCAGCATGCATTCCTCCTCTTCCTATTGCTCGGGCTGTGGTGCTCTCTAAACCCCAGGTGTCTCAGCAAACTCCTGGCAAAAGGACAAAATAAAGAATGGACAGCAGGGATCTTCTATAGCTAGAAAGCTGAAAGATGGCCTGCAGGCCATTAAGGAATTGACCCAGATAAAACAAAGGAAAATTCTCTGCTGGAATTCTCGAGAACACTGAAAGGGAACTGGTCAAAGTAGCAGAGATGAAGAGCCATGAGTCAGAGGAGGAACAGAGGAACAGCTTCCCCAAGGAAAGCAGACACTGGGCAGGGTAGGGGCTCATCTGCACACAGCTCTGCTAAGGACTGGGACCTAAGGTGATGAAGATGAGGGTAGCCAGCAGGAAGTGGTAAAGGATGATGAAAGAGTCTGAGCAGCGAAGAACAACAACCAGTGCCAATGGTGAAAATGACTTTGAAGCATCTTGAGGAATTTAGTGATCTCATCGATGTGTCTGAATGATCAAACGTTTATCCTATCATGGTGGTACATGCCTGTAATTCTAGCACTTGGGAAGTAAAGGCTGAGGATCAGAAGTTCAAGGTTATTCTTAGCTATGTAGCAAGTTTGAAGCTAGGCTGGATTACATGAAACCCTGTATCAGACACATTCTCCAGATCCTGTACCCCAGGATCTCAATGCAAGCTCCCTGTTCTCCCTATCCAGTCTGTCTTATGGACATTAATTTATATTGCCTTGTCCCAGGCCTACGTTCACTACTTTTATGTTTTTAGTAGGTTCTGTTTTGTTTTTAGGCCTTAACCTGAAACAGTTTTTTGTAATTTCAGTGCCACATAGTGTTGGAGTAGGGTGCTTGCCTAGATGCATAACGCTCAGAGCTAACCACCCAGTACTGCACAAACAGTGTGTGGAATCACATGCCTAGAACCCTATTTATCAAGTGGAGGCAGGAGGATCAGAAGTTCAGAGTTATCCTCAGCTACATAGAAAGTTTGAAGCCAGCCTGGAACACACCAGATCCTGTTTCAAAACCACATACATACAGAAGAAATCTTGATACTGCTTTCTCACAACAGTAACAATTTTTACCAGCTGTCTCCAAGACAATCTGTTATTGCATAGGGAGCAGGGCTGTGCTCATTCCAGCATGGGTAGGCTGGAGAAATGGGTCAGCACCTGTCTTAGTTAAGGTTTTAGTGTTGTGAAAAGACACCATGATCACAATGACTCTTACAAGGAAAATATTTCATTGGAGTGGCTTGCTTACAGCTTCAGAGGTTCAGCTCAATATCATCATGAGGGGGAGCATGGCAGCATGCAGGCAGACATGGTGCTGGAGGGGCAGCTGGAAGCCCTACACCTTGCAGGCAACAGGCAATGGTCTGAGACACTGGGTGGCATTCTGTGCATAGGAAACTTCAAAGCCTATCCCACAGTGACAGACCTTTTCCAGCAAGGCTACAATCCATTTGAAGGCGTAATTAAGGAAGTCCACGAAAGCCCAGAATAAAGGATAGCAAATATTTATTGGGGAAAAACTCACAACAAGGATATAGAGAGCTGCGGTTCTCTGCTCTGTGGGTGCTGGAAGCTAAGAACGGAACTCCAACTACCACCCAAGAGAGCTGGCACGCTTCCTGTCTGTGCTTATTAGTCCTACGTAGAAACTCAGACCACGCCCTAGTGGGCTGGTACCCAAAAGACTATTGGCTGAATGAATTCCCACAACACTCACTCCAACAAAACTACACCTCCTATTAGTGCCACTCCCTGGGAGATTGGGGGTGAGGGCAATTACATTCAAACTACAGCAGCGCCCAAGAGTGCTTACCGCTCTTCTATGGGGGCAAGGTTTGGGTCCCAGACTCAACATGGAGGCTTACAACCACCTGTGATTTATATTATTATATTTAGTGACTTTATTCCAGGGACTTTGACACCCTCTTCTGGCCTCTGGAGGCACCTCTACCTATGACACACACCCACAGAGTCACATACACACATAAATTAAACTTAAAATAAATCTTTAAAAATTTCCAACATGGAGGCTCGAGGCCCCACCCCTAACTGAGGAGTGGTTGGCTGTTACAGAAGGGAAAGTCACTTCTTCCTGAGGAGTGGCCACTAGCAGGCTGGCCAGGCCCCAGTGGCCCCACAGCCATGTGCTTGTCAGCATTACTGAGTATGTTTGGTAGGCTAACTTTTTAAAAAAGAAGACTTAAAACTGGAAGGGAGATCTCTTGGGGAGGAGACAAGGATTGAAGGGGAAGAGTGAGGGGCAGGCATTTAACACACATTGTACACAGCTACAAAACTGTCAAAGGATAAAAGAGTTAGAAAAATGAGGTGGATAGCAATAGAGAAACACACTCAACACTGACTGACCTCCTGTCTCCCATGTGTGGGGGTACACATGGACATGTATACACACACACACACACACACACACACACACACACACACACAGAGAGAGAGAGAGAGAGAGAGAGATGGGAGAGAGGGAGGGAGGAAGGGAGGGAAGAAGGGGAGAGAGAGAGAATGGGGAAGAGTAGAGGAAGAACTTGGTTGGACTGATCTGTCAGTTATTTGGAACTGATTAAGACAGGAGCCTATTAAATGAAGGCGCAAAAAGGTAAAGTTGGTTCATTAGAGAGTTGATATTTGTAGACACAAAGTCCTAGAAAAAGGAAGAAAGAGCGGGTGCAGGTGTTGGGGGGAGCAGACTGCACACACCAGAGGGATGAAGCCTGGAGGGTGAGAGATAGCAGGGGGGCTGGAGGAAGGGCTGTGGTCGGAATGGAGCTCATGACAGTTGGCGGGCAGCAGACAACAAGGAATGTGGAGTCCACAGTGCCGAGCAATAATACAACCACATTTTCTTCAGCAAACGAAGTGGGGTTTGGAACAGCAGCTGTCCCTGACAAGAGCTCACGACAGGAGCCGTGTAGGGTCCTGTGACTCCTATGGCTCCTCACTCAGAACTACGAACCTTTGTCTCTGTCTGCCATCCTCTCATCTTCCCTTCCTTCTACTTTATTACTCTTCTGTAAGTCTTTCTCTTTTTTTTCTCTTTTTCCATCTCTCTGAGCACCCTTCTGCTTCTACTTCCCCCATCGTCCATATCTGGATCTCCTCTCTTGGCTCTCTTGTGTCTTTCTTTCCCCTTCCCCGCTTCCTTTAACAGCTAAAGCAGGGGACCAAAGCTGGGTTTTAGCCTCTTGCCTTAAGCATTTGCTTCCTGTGTTTCAGTTTCTAAACAAATGCATTGAAACTTGGCTGCTTCTTGCTGTACCCTTAAAGGTGCGGTGAATTTCAGTTAGCTTTGTGCCATTGACTGGGGAAGACCTTTGATAGAACACAGCTTGCTGGCCTCCATCAGGGCCGTGCAGGCAGATACTGCTCCATCCCCAACCACCTTCTGTTTATTTTGTAGCTGCTGTTAACACCACAAAACCCAGAAGGCGTAAATGTTACTGTCTTAAAGACAATAAAACTCAAGGAACCAAAACAAACAAGATGCAAAACCCCTAGAAAGTCTATGTTGATCCAGTATTCCAATTGGAATCTAAGTCACGAGAGATATTTATAAAATCCACATTTCTAGTCGAAGCTCACAGAATGCTTCAGGAAGTGGCAGTCTGCCTGTTGCTAACCTAGAAAGTCATGACCTCTGAGAGGTTTGAAGGCTCCATGTTGCCCCATAACAGCAGGTGACACTTCCCATTAAAATGCCCCTACCCAGGCCATACACAGCACAGCACTGCCTGACTTTCCTCTGGCTGTGGACTCTAGTGTAACATGAGGGGGCCTGTTTGTTGGGGGTTTTTCTGTCCTGCCCGGCCCCCCAGCTGTTTAGTCCCAGAGAAAAATCACACAAGAGATCTCTATAAGTTATAAAGCTGATTGGCCTTTTAGGTCAGGCTACTTATTAGCTAACGCTCACATCTTGATTAACCCATTTTTCTGATCTATGTTAGCCATGTGGCTCAGTACCTTTTTCAGTGGGGCAGCTCACATCCTGCTGCTTCAGTGATCTGGGCAGGAGTGGGAGGAATCAACTTCCTCCTCCCCAGAATTCTCCTGCTCTCCTTACATCATTTCCACTTCCTGTCTGGTTTTCCCACCTACACCTCCTGCCTGACCAATCAGTGTTTATTTAAAACATGATTGACAGAATACAGACAATTCTCCTGCACTCTAGAGTGGATGTTCCGCTTCATTTGACAGTGATGTTGTCGTCTTTAGGTGACTTGAGGTCAAAAGTTTACTATTTTGCTCCTGTAGAGCCAGCAGCCCCATGGGTAGCCGTTTATGCCAAAAGTTAACATATAAAAATTGCACCTGTTTCTGTGAGCTCATTTCAGAGGCCAGACCAAAGACAGCCATTATCTTTATAAACGGTACTCAAATTGTATAACTTCTAAGGAATGCCTCTTATTATAGGCACCTTGCCCACACGTCTTGATCTGCCGTTTCTAAAGAAATGGTTAAGTTTTAAACTATTTAATTTTTCCCAGTGTAAATTTAAATTTTTATTCAGGTTTGCATTTCATAGCATATAAAATGAGGGTTTTTTTGTTTTGTTTTTGTTTTGTTTTGTTTTCAACCTGCATGGGACCAAACTAGACCCTCTGAATGTGGGTGACAGTTATGTGACTTGATCTGCTGGGGAGAGGCCCTGGCATTGCACCAGGACCTATCCTGAGTGCATGAACAGGCTTTTTGGAGCCCATTCCCTATGGTGGGATATCTTGCTCAGCCTTGATAAGGGGGCGAGGAGGGGGAGGGCTTGATCCTTCCTCAAGTTGGTATACCAGACCTTGTTGACTTCCCAAGAAAGGCCTTATCTCCTCTGAGGAATGGGTGGGGGGGGTGAGAAGGGAGAGGTGTGGGATAGGAGAAGGGAAGAAAGAGGGAACTGGGGTTGGTATATAAAAGTGAAAAGTAAAATATTTTTAATAAAAAAAAGTCATTTAATTTTTATATAAAGGGAAATTGGGAGTAGAAAGAAAGTCTTCAGAGAGCTCTAGGGAATGAAGATGGTGAAGGAGCCCCGAAGTTCGGGTTCAGACTTAGCCATGCCAGGAGGGATGAACATTGGGAGAGTGATCGGTTTGTCAGTCTTGGGGATTCAACTGTGGTGACCTTGACCGAGTGTCTACAGTACTAATAATGAGGGCGGAGCCACCAAGAGCATGTGCAAAGGAGCAGCTCTGCTAGAGAACCCACTCATCCCTGTGTTTTCTAGCCTGTTGAACCACTGCACAGATGTTCACACCAGACAGCACCCGATGCTACAGAACTTCCTTCTTAACGGAATTCTAGCTCTCTCCCTTTCGTTGTGCCTAGATCCTGGCTCTCTTAGTACATGAGAGACTAATTCACAGTCAGCTTCTATTTCGAGATCGAATAACTTCACTGGGTTAAAGATGGGCGTAGAAGACAGAGCCTAAAGTCAAAAGAGGAGAAAATTTTGGAGAATTCAGCAAGTATTGCAGGAGCCTGGGGAGATGTTTGGGGCAAAAAGAATGTATTCTGACCCCAACTGATTGCCCCACGGTAGCCATCGGCTCCCCCACCCTGTTTTTAAAGCACAGTTCTCCATTAACATTATCATGAAGGGATACCTACATTATTCAAAGGGACTTAAGCTTGCATTCCCTCCCTTGCTATCTACTTCTCATGATCCAGCCTGATTGATTATATTACTTGATTGTAATATCTTAAGAGAGTCCAAAGAGAAAAGCAACCAGAAAACTAAATGAGGTGTGTATATAGGTATGACCTCATGCATGTTTACCGATGTGAAAGCAATCTTCTTCCTCAACTTCATCCTTCTTTATTGTTGAAAACACAAAGTCTTCTTGAAGCTTATCCGATCGCAGGACCGAATGTCCTTCAAGAAGTGGCTCCCCTTTAAGTAACTAGTTCTTCTTGCCAACTCATTTTTTCTTCTCTCTCACTTTTCCCCCTTACATTTCTCAGGACGAATGTCGCCTTCCACTTCACTGCCAGCCCCTCTCAACCTCAGGTAAGCGAAAATGTCCAGCAGTTATTGGGAGCCCAGCTGCTGGTGCTGCACACAGACACCTTGGAGCAGGGAGAGTAAAGTTGGCGTGTATTAACGCCCTTGACCGTACTCTGTGTTTTCTTGGTTGTTACTTAAGTCTTGGGCACATTTAATATCATCACCTTTATTGGAATGAAACAGGAGGCCTGATATCTATTTCCAGTGTTCTGTGGGACATGCTTCATTGAGTAAAGTCATGCATCTGATGTGTCCTGAGGGATGTTAGATGGGACTGGGTGCTGTGGGAAAGAGAAGGCGACAATCACAGACTCTGTGATGATAGACGTCTGCATGATTGAGAGGGCGCAGGGAGACAGAGTGGGGAAGGCTGACAGCAGACAGATATGCAAATGAATGTTCTGAAAATATAAAAATAAGACTGATTTCCATTCCTGCCATAATATTGACAGATTGGATTTGTGTTCCCTGTCAGTAAAAATAATTAGCTAGTTTTATGTGTTCCTCCATAAAAAAATAACCACGAGCAGAATAGACACACGAAACTATTTTTTTTACGTTGTTTTCCTGATGACATTTCTACCTTTTTCTCCCCTTTCATGGTTTCTGAAAGACTCTATGCTGTAACAAGTTCAAAATAGGTTTTTGGCCCTGTTTAGTGGTTCACACCTTCATCCGACCACTCTAAACACCAAACCAAGACATGAGAAGTGTGAGCGAGAGGCCAGTCTGAGCTACATGCAAGTTCCAAGCCGGCTTCAGCTACATACCAAGTCATAGAAAGACAAGACTCACCTATATGCCGCAATACATAGCCTATGTTTGTTGAAGGCTTTAGTAATATCTTGCTCACAAGTGGTTACTTAGTTTTTGTTTTGAATATAGTAAACTGGTGATTAAATAGTATGGGCCTCTGTGATGCTATTACAATCACTGATGTGCTTGTAAATATCTAACAGCTTCTTGGGGGTAGGGCAAAACTAGATTTGCACCTTTTCCCCTGCATGTGGTAAAAACTCCTCCACCATGGCTGATTTCAAATGGCTGACCTGATGTTACTGGTCATGTTGGGAACAGATGTACCGAGCAGTGCTCCAAAACCCATAGAAATGAACTCCTACTTCTGTTCTGTGATGCTGGGGATTGAACTCTGGACCTTGTACAGGCTAAGCAAGTACTTTACCAGCTGAGGCACATCTCTGGCCTTAAAGCTGAGATTTAAATTTTCTTTCTGTGAAAGTCATCCTATACATTGATGCCCAGTGGCCAGAAAGGCCGCAGGGCACAATTTGTTTTTCTTCATAGCTATGGACCATTTAAATTCAAATGGTATTTAGAGGGGCTAAGTAGGTGACTCAGTAATTAAGAAAGCCTGCTGCTCTTGTAGAGGACGTGAATTTGCTTCCTCGTGCCCACACAGTGGCCCATTCCTATATCTGACTTTAATTCTAGAGCATGCAATACCTTCTTCTGGGGTACTGTGTCTTGTAATACACAGACACAGATGCTGGCAAAGCATGTACCTAAAGTAAGAATAAAAGCTTTTACCAGGCAGTGGTGGCACAAGGCTTTAATCCCAGCTCTCGGGAAACAGAGCCGGGTGGATCTCTGAGTTTGAGGCTAGCCTAGTCTACAAGAGCTGGTTCTAGGACAGGCTCCAAAGTTACAGTGAAACCCTGTCTCAAAAAAACATAAATAAATAAATAAATAAACAAATAAATAAATAGTATCTCTTTCTGAATAAAGAATATTTTAAGGCAGGGGTCTAAAACATTCCTTTGGGGTTGTAGTGATTTAGAGATAAAGTTGATAATAGTTGGACATGTTGATAAGTGTTAATAAGGTAATAGTACATATTCATTGCTAACAGTAGTGCTCTTGAATTATAAAGTATGGCTGTCCTGAAAACCACCCTGAGACCTCTAGGGTCCTCCTTTGGAATAACCCTGTTTCATGGGCATTTGAATCCTGCTCCAAAATGCAGTCATACAAGGCATGAAAAGATTTCTAAATAGGAATGTGAGTACCATTCCTTAATTCTAACATTCTACTTAGACTGAATTAGTTCTCAAGAGAGCATTAGTATAGGGGGTACTGGAATGCAAAGTTAAATTGTGACTTTTTACCCCCCCCCCTTTTTTTAAATGATGTGCTTACTAGGTCTATAAGATATCATTCTCCTCAGGGTGGGTCTCCAGCCTTCACCACAAACTTGATGTTTCTCATACAGCTGCCACACTTTAAATTATTGGACGAAATTCTCCTTTTCCCCATTTTAAAATGTATTTAAATGTTCTAAGAGTCATTATGTTTTCCCAATGGATTCGTAAGTGAGGGAGGAAATAATGTCACCTCTTTCCGTTAGCAATGTTGCCTATGGGTTAGGAAAGATGGCTCAGAGGTCATGAGCACACGTGGTTCCTGCAAAAGACTTGAGTGGAGTTGCCTGCACCCACCTTGGCCAACTCACAAATGCCTGTCACTTACCTTCTTCTGGTCTCAGTAGACATCCCCTTCTGGCCTGTGCAGTCACACACACATGTCACACACACACACACACACACACACACACACACACACACACACGAGTCTACCGATACTTGAAAAATAAATTTACCTTAAATCACAAACATATTTCAAGGCTCAACATCAAACTTAATCTTTTCAGCTAAATAGTTTCTTAGAATATCTCAGTTAGGGAAAAGATTCTTTGCCAAAAGGTTTAGAGGAAAGATTGGTGTAAAGCTAATTCTTCCCTCTGACAAGATGGTCTTAAGAAACAGAAGAATCTACTACCATTCAAGGTGGAGCTTTGTATTTCACAGACAAAAGCTGTTGTCTGACGTGAAATCCTGTGTACCTCTGCCTTTGGAAGAGGCTGACACTCAGAGTGCCTAAGTGGAAAAAGGAACGAAGCCCAGTCTAAGGGAGCTGATGAGAATCTGAATCCTAAAATGAAAAGGCAGCCTTGTGTAAACGGCCACTCACCCTCGCTGCTACCTTTCCCACGTGGGGCACTGAGACCTGCGCAGAACAGTTTGCTGCTTACCGTGTGCGAAATGAATGGAAGACTGTAGCCATACCCTGAGCTTTGCCTCTGGAATCCAAACATCGTGGTAGAGAAAGCAATCCCACCCATGGTTTGTGTTTCTATAGACATTTCCTAAGGTTGATAAGTCATGTCTCCCTTTTTCTCATCCTCAGTATTTTCTCTACAAATTTCCTGAAGACGTGGACTCCGTTATCATTAAGGTGGCGTCTGAGAAGGCTTATCCTTGTTCAGTTGTCTCGGTTCAGAACATCATGGTGAGCTCTGATCCTGTCAGCCTTCTAGCACGTAAGATCCTAATGTTCCAGAATAGATGGGGGAGGGGCTGTGCCATCCTCTCCCATTCATCACTCAGCCAGATGATAGCAACATCTCGTGCACCTGACTGGCAATCCATGTTCGCTGACATTGCTAAGAAACAAGACGTATCTCATCAATACAAAGAAAAGGTGGGGGATGGAGACTACGTCAGGACAGAAAACATCCAGCTGTAGGTTCAGTGAGAAAAATGAAATAAAAGCTTATACTACCTGCTTTGTTTTTAGATTGCTGTCACAGCGTTAGATGCTTTCTGTATCACAAGACAGCAACCAAAAAAAAATTAGGAAATATTACATACTTTAAGGCAGTCTTTTTTTATAGTTCTCTTCTGTATAGAGTGGTTCTGACATCTTAGGACCAAGACCAAATTGTAAGAGGACCATTTCTTGACTGTTCTGAGAAACCTCCCATGGTGTCACGATTAGAAGATCTCCCCCACCCCGGCCTGTGGCCAGGTGGCCCAGCCCTGATACGTGTGTACGGAGTGACATCATGCCACAGGACTGATGCTCTCTTCTTTGTCTCTCATGTGCTTCAGTGTCCAGTGTACGATCTGGACTACGACGTGGAATTCAATGGTGTCTATCAGTCCATGACCAAGAAAGCTGCCATCACGCTACAGGTGAGACATTGCCTCTGAAGTCACAAGAGCAGTGGGGCTCAGCCAACAGTCACTTACCGACCGGACCAGCATCCAAAGGAGATGATTGTCCACCGGGTACCTTGGAACTCTTTTCTTTCTGATTGATTTTAAAAGTGAATAGTATTCTGCCTGCAGTTGGTGCCTGGATCATGGTAGGCAATGCTATTCTTTCAGGCGTTCTTTCCCCTTGGGGGTTCTTAGGAATCTACAGTGCAGTAGGACATATGTCTGGCAGATCGCTTACAGGGATAAGTCCAGATGAGGTTCCAGTTTATTCCTAATTTATTATTAGGGTAAAGCTTATTACAGTCATTTAAAGAAATTCAGCATATTATAATTTCTACCTGTAGCCGTCACCAAAAGTTGGATTCAACTCTGGAGAGAATACCAGATTCAAAGACACACGAGCCTTATTCATGCAACACTTTGCCCTTTTGGTATTTGTGACTGAACTGTTACTTCAGTGGTATTTCCTAGCCAAAAAAAAAAAAATGTCATCCTATTCCAACAGACACTCTACCCCAGTCTCTGGTTAGTACTGAAGAAATCTGTGACTTGGTCTGGGTAGCATAAGACAACATTGCTTGTTGAGTAAATAGACAAAAACTGCAAAGAAGCTAAGTGTAATTTAGGTATCGGACCTGACAAGTTTCTGTCAGTCAAACTTGAGGTTTTGAACAACGCAGATTTAATAGCCCAAATGTCCTGCTGCCTGTGCTTATTTCTTCCTTAGCATACCATATTGATGTGATCCCCAATTTAAAAAGGGGATGCAAAATAATAAAATGCAAAAATAATAAAAGCAGTGGGTATTTTAATTTGCTTCCTAGTGCTGTATAAAACATCATAATCAAATGCAACTTGGGGAAAAAAGCTTTCTTTAACTCACATCTTCACACCATAGCTCATCGTGGAGGAGAGCAAGGGCAGGAGCTCCAAACAAGAACCTGGAGGCAGAAAAAAAAAAAGGGGCAGGAACTGAACCAGAGACCGTGGAGGAGCTCTGCTTACTGGATAGCTTTTCTTGGCTCATCCAGCTTGTTTTTAATACACCTAGAATCACCTGCCCAGGGCGCTCTCCACAGTGGGCTAGGCCCTCCCACATCAATCATTCTCAAGAAAATGCCCCACAGACACCTACAGGCTGATCCTAGGATGGCATTTTCTCAGTTGAGTCTCTCTCGTCAGCTGAACCTAGTTTGTGTCAAGCTTACATAGAACTATATTAAA